GCAGTGGCTACGTGACACAATGTTCGAGTGATCCCAAGATGGATCTTCGGTGTCGATGTGGTCCTGCCAGCCCAGGCACTAAGGACGGTCTGTTCATCGCGAAAGAACGCTACTCCGCTCCTACTAGGCAAATGTGTATGCTTGTGGCGTTCGTTATCCTGTTGTTACTCAGTGTGATGGTGGTGCGACGTGTGGCGTGGTCTTAGATCTGCGTGATTCTTTTTTGTTGATGTGATGGTAACTCTTAACACTTTTGCATCATAGCATCCTTGACCGTAACTTTTCACCTAGTGATTACATGATAGTCAGTATAGTCGTTGAGTGCATTGTGTTGTGGGGAAGCTGAAGCGCACTGCCCTTGGTCTTCTCCTCGTAGCAGGTCGTAGTAGGTGGTGGACCATTATTCCACCACTAGCAGTGCTGCAAAATATGTTCGCTTTACTCAGCTGAGCTCGAAAATTTCCACACAAATCACAGGAGTTTATATACGAATCGGAAGAAAAGTGTACAGAAACTAACAAAATTTCCTCAGAGTTTTGATTTGGTCACCAACACATGTGGTTGATCATATTCAAATTTTACCACACTGACCACTAGAATTGTCACATATCAGCATTTCTAATTGGTTATCACTGCATGCCTAACGTGGGTCCCGATGCGACGAGGGCCGGCCCTCGGAAGACGGTGGCTGTGATAGGGGGTTCGTTCGATCCTCCGACTCTGGCTCATCTGATGGTGGCTTCTCAAGTGAGTACGGCTGAGCTTCGAGCGTTTGCCCAGTTTCACGTTTCTGTGCTTCGCTTTATTGGAACATTTGTTGTATTTTTTCAGCTGAAGTCAGAAATTTTAGAAGCTTACCCACGAATTTGAGTAAAATTGGACTCGGAATTTCCCAAAATTTCCTCAGAATTTCCGGATTGTCACCAACACATTGCATACCTCCCCATACTGGTGCTTCGTATCAGGTAGTTCAGCTGGGCTGTGCGGACGAGGCATGGATGATACCATGTGGCAACAGGCCTGACAAGGACTCTCAAGCTGATGTGGTGACACGACTGCGCATGACCCAAGCTGCCATAGAGGCGGTGGTCCCGGAGGAATTCCCGATCAAGTGCTGCGACATTGAGGTGAGCAAGCTAGGCACAGTGAACGATTATTCCCTCTCAGCGATTTACAGGTGGTTAACGGGTCATTTATTCCGACAGTTTTCCTAATGCGTCGCCTCCGAGAGCGGCATCCCGACATGACGTTCCGCTTCGTCATTGGTAGTGATTTACCACCAACGTTACTCGAATGGGATCATGGCGACGAACTGATAGCTGAAAACGAATTCATAGTTTTACCACGGTGAGCCCAGGATGACATGTTGTCGTTGATAATTGCAGCACGATAATACCTCCGGACGAAATGTACATCTTATTTTTATTCACAACTTGTTGACATTGTTGTTGATTTTCCCCCGGAGTTTCCTCATTGTTGGTATACTGAAATTGTCGTATGTTGGTCAGGCCAGACTCCAAACCAGAATACGAGTGGCCACAGGGTTTGAAGTACGTCAAGGTCACCGACCGAGTTACTGCGAATACAGCCCTCCTCACTACTGACATTAGCAGTACGGCGGCACGGAATAGACTGCGGGAACTCGGCTGGTTAGGGGCTGTGTCCATCATCCCTAAGCAGGTGAGAGCCCAGTCAGCGTGATCAACATTG